AGGCAATGATTAGTTCTGTGAAACAAAGCAAAACCAATGTGTGTCTACACCGGACGCGAGTGGCGAGGCGCGACAAAATACTATGGAACTCATTATAATCAGTGATGCTGTCTACAATATATATATATATATATATACATATCTATGTTCTACCCTGGTTGCGGCGCGACACGACACGACAAATCCCAGACAAAAACTGCTGCTGCATTCTATTAATGACGTATTGACACAAATTTCAAATGATTTTCAACGGTCACTTTGTCGCGTCCAGTGTACTAGACAGATTTTAGCTGTTTGCGGCGCAGACACGGTGTTACACACCAATCGAGAAGAAACAAAGCAACCTCGGCATCCGATCGCAGGCCTTCCGCTCTTTGAGTTCTCTCCAGCGCTGGAAAGCTGATCCAATATTTACACGGGTCCTACTTCTTGCCTTATTGCCTTAAGCCTTCTTTTGTTCCGCAGACGTTTTCCTCTTTTGTTTTTTATCCGCCATCTCTATCTTTCTGTCGCTCGGCTCGCTAATGTCCGTCCTGTGCACTGAACATTCTCTGCCTCCTCCACATCATGAGTAGACACACCCCTTACTGCTGATTAGCTACAAGTTTGTTTTGCATAAATGCATAAATACATGATGCTGTTTTGTTCATAATTGTTTATGCAATTACTAAATTATATTTGATTTATATGAGTTCATTTAGACGTAATGCAGGATTTTTATAGACATTTATTTCCTTGCGTTGACAATTTGTCATATGTAATCTGCATATAAAACATTAGAAATTAGATATTTGTTTAATTTTTATTGTGTGTTTGACTGTTAAAACTAAAAATATTTGTTGTTTGTCTCAATAGTTTGTTTTGCATAAATGCATAAATACATGATGCTGTTTTGTTCATAATTGTTTATGCAATTTACTAAATTATATTTGATTTATATGAGTTCATTTAGACGTAATGCAGGTTTTTTATAGACATTTATTTCCTTGCGTTGACAATTTGCCTCGGGAGACAAGCCAAAAGTTTTCTTAAGACCTATGTAATCTGCATATAAAACATTAGAAATTAGATATTTGTTTAATTTTTATTGTGTGTTTGACTGTTAAAACTAAAAATATTTGTTGTTTGTCTCAATAAATTGGGTTAATTTGAAAATACAGTGGTTAAATGTAATTTTTTTTCTATTGCTCTTTGTTTTAAAAAAGGTTATAAAAATGTCAATAATTATCGATACCGAACGATACGAAACATTATATCGTTGATACAATTTTTAGCGATATCACCCAGCCCTAAATCCAGGCCTATATTATTTTCCCCTAAATATCATTTTTCAATCTTAAAAATTACATTAAATAATTTAAATGCATTACCAATGTTCTTTGTTGTCTTGAATGCTAATATTATCTAGTACTATACAAAATTGCTTCATAATCAATTGAAAAGTGATGGGTGTAATTTTTGCACCACTAACACCACACAACCGCATTCATTGGTCAGAAAAACAGATAGCTCCACCCCTCACACCATTGGTCGAGCTGATGTTGTTGTTGGGCTGATTAGAATTCTCAGGGAAATCAATCAACAAATGTCTAACTTATATTTATTCTCTGCATATTAGAATTGCGATAAAATGGGATAGTGACAGATCTTTTTATCCATATCGTAGCGTGCACCAGAGTGAAATGGATTATCGAAAAAGAAGAAAATGCAGGGCATGAATTTTCATTTCATGACGACTTTAAACTGGTATAGAAGAAAATATTGACAAAAAACAACAACAATAAATCTCAACAGGAGGAGCTGTCAGAGAGCTTTGCTCACCCTGAGTGTTGTCCTCTTGTTTCTGAGAGCATTGCTCCAGCTTGCTGATGTGCTGCGGGGTGCTGCTACGCTCCGGCTGCTTGTAGTAACGGCCCTCATTGAAGACGTGGGGCAGGTTGGCAGTGTGAACCTGCCGGAGCTGCTCATAGTCATTGAGAGCGGCGCTCAGGTCCCAGTTTTTACCTGATTAATCACAAACAACAAAATTGATGATACATGATGCGAATATGCTAATGCTTTAGCATCAACAGTCTTCTTCAACTTTCTGATTTTCTCTTGCCGGTCAAACTGGAAAACTGTCATGGAGCACAGAAAATAATCTTGCTGAAAAATGTTCAATTGTCAACATATTTGTAGCAATGTAATTTACAGTAACAACAGCACATTCTGTTCAATGCTAAAGATGTATAAACTCTATCGCCCCCCTCAGGAGCCGTAGTTTGTTAGCGCCACAATAACTCGCGCTAAAACTGATAAGGTAATCGCACACATGCTCTCAAAACAATGCTGTGCATCAAATATCCAATAATTATTTCTTTGTTAATACTGACGAACAATATGATGTCCACAATTTTAAACAGGAAGCAAAAAAAACTATAATAATGTAATAGAAAACTCTGAATACTTTCCGTACCCACTGTATGTGTGTGTGTGTGTGTGTGTGTATGTGTTCTCGTGTGTTTTATTTATATTTGTGTATTTATAAAAAGAAAGCAATTTTGTCATTGATATATTTAATTTTGGTATAAAAAAGAAAATATATATAAAAAAACCATCAATGCAAAAACAAGTAGTATTTCTTTAATAAAAAAGATGCTTTTTTGTTTTTTTACCAGTTTTTACCATGATTTACAGAAATATTTTTTTAATTCAGAGTAGGAATAGTTCATACAACAAAAAACTTTGTCAGGCATATTAAGATCAAGAATCATTAGATGACTTTAAAAAATAATATTAAATTTTTACATAAATATATCTGTTACACTGAATGATGATGGAACATTATTTCACCCATGTTTTGACATTTTATTTCACAAACGTTATTTGAAACATCGATACCGTGTACTTATTACACTTGCAAGTAATAAGCTTTCTGTGTATATAATTTTTCAAAATCTTTTTATCAAATCAATTTAATTTATAAAATGTAATATAAAATTTACAATAAATTTTAACTTTATAAATATAAAAAACAACAACAACAAACACACACACACACACACACACACAAAGCAAAAATGACTGGTGTTTGTTTAAAAAAAAAAATCGTAATATTTATTAAATGTCTATTTCAAACGTATTTAAGACTTGTCTTGCTTGTACCAAAAATCAAGTTTCAGCAATGATTCCATGCCCACTAAATAGGAGGTCATTGTTAATGAACATGACCTGGGCTTTCTCTTTCATTTCGTCAAGCTACTGTTTGAGTGCACCTGCCAACTCCCATAAGGCTTTTCAATCTAATCCCAATTACACCACCTGCCAACATGAGTGCCACAAAACGCTTACAGCTCACATCAAACCCTAAACAATGGAGTTCCGCTTCACATCAAGCCTGAAGATAAAGAGGGACATTAAAACGATTGTGCTTCTTCTCCAGCGTGCTCTGAGTGAAGACAATTTGATGAAAAAGCAACACAGATTTGTTTTTGGTTAAATAGAGAGAACATTCATACCAAGCAAAATGGGAGGAAAATCACAGGAAAGACAGAGAAGCCAAACCCTCTAATGTGAAATGACAGTCACCTCAAGACTCCTACACACACACACACACACACACACACACACGCACGCAGCTGCTTCCATGTCCTCCAGCGAAAGTCTTATCTCTGTAACCCAAAGGCCTTGCAGGGACCAAAGAAACCATCTACAGAGAAATACACAGCCTGTGTGTGTGTGTGTTTTGCCTATACTGTGAAAAACAAATGTCTCTGCAAGGATAGTAAAACCTGAAATCACTAATATAATGTACTATTTATTCATAACATACTTAATAATGTCCCTAAATTTTACCACACTATTTTAATGCCCAGAGATGCCATTTTTCATTTAAAAACGATTTAAATTAATCAGATTTAAAGGAATGAACATTTACTGAAATTTACTCACCCTCAGGTCATCCAAGATCTGGATGAGTTTGTTTCTTCATCTGAACAGATTTGAAGAAATTTAGCATTACATGCTACTTGCTCACCAATGGATCTTCAACAGTGAATGGGTGCCGTCAGAATAAGTGTCCAAACAGCTGCTAAAAAAATCACCACAATAATCCACAAGTAGTCCCTCAATTAATGTCTTGTGAAGTGAAAGGCTGCATGCTTTTACTGTTTTTGCTTGTAAATGGTGCTTGAGCTGTGCATATTTCTCTCCTTATTCAGACGAGAGGACTTTTTCATTGGAGAAAGCAGTATTATGGATAGAGGACTTATGGAAGTTAAAAAAAAAACGTCTTGATGGATTTGATCTTACAAACATGCAATTACTTCACAAGACATTAGCTGATGGACTGGAGTGGTGTGGATTATTTCTGGATTATTATGACGTTTTTATCAGCTGTTTGGACTCTCATTCTGACGGCACCCATTCACTGCAGAGGATCCATTGCTGAGCAAGTGATGAAATGCAAAATTTCTACAAATCTGCTCCAATAAGAAACAAACTCATCTACATCTTGGATGGCCTGAGGATGAGTGAATTTTCAGCCGCTTTATCTTTAATGACCAGAGGAGACTTACAGTGATCGTCCAAAAAAATGTGGACACTTAAATTTAAACTTGAAACAAACAAAAACATAATTCTGTAATCATTTGAGACCTATAGCATCCATTTTATTTCTAACTGGCAAGTCTCCCATCATTCAGTCTGGACAGAGTCATTACATTCTTCATGTAGCCTATGTAGCACCAGAACCCACATCAATCAGTACAAACCTCATTGTAGTTTATGGATTTGTTCATCCTTTGACCAGCCAGAAATTTTAAAAGACATTTTAAGGCTTAATCGAATGACCGCTCAGCACCTCTGATACATGCGTCTCACAGATTGCTAAGCATTATGGGTCTCAATCAATGTGCTGAAGGCAGTTTCCTGTTGACGTCCCCTTCTCTGTCTGTCCTTTAGATTTACAATTGGATTTTGCAGACATTATCACATATTGTGGACACATTCAGACCACACAATATAAAATATTTCAATCATTTCCGAAGCAGAAATTCTTTTCATCTTAGGTCAGTGTTTTACAATTCCAGAGCTGGTTGCAAACGTGGTCAAAGACCTAATTTAATTAAACAAGGTACCCATGGGAGCTTTGATGGCAAAAGGTTAGCAGGGTTTTAAAGAAAAAAAAATCACCCTGTCCAATATTTTAAAAAATCAGCTTTATTCAATAATGATATTGAACTGATTCCAGATATTCCAAAAAAATACTGTACAGTATCTCTATACAATTTGTTTTCTATTCATATTTATTTTTATACAAATGTACACTTTATATAATTTTCTAATATATTTTTACTATTTATCTCTACTATATTTTTTTCCCGTAAAATATTAAACATACTGTACTTATGTTATATATTTGTATTATTTATTTTAAATTGTATTGTTTATCTATATTCATTTATATCATACTACAACTATATTATATTAGATTTATTTATTTATTATATTTTTGAATAATAGCCTTTGACAGTTCAAACTTAGCACACGGCAACCAATTTCCTTGCCTGTTGTTCAAATAACACAAACTAAGCAGGTGAAGAATGAAACTGGACAACTGAACAACCCTAATTTGGTGCTTTTCTGTGTCTTTGCTAATGAACGAAGACATTCACAGTTCTTCTGCAAGATGTTCTTTCAGCAATTAAACTTCTTTTCCCGTTAATCAGGTGCTCTGCTTTATTTATGTTGAGGAGAATGACATTGTAGTCGATCACCCATGAGATGTGATGGGACAACACATTAAATATCTCACAGCGACAATAGCCATTTTTGTTTCTGAAAAGCGTACAATATGCTGACTACATAGTGAATACGGTGCACTATACACTGCAATCCAGTATATAAAACAACATATTATTCGACAACAAATGTTTCAAACAGTAGTGTGCAACATGAATACAGAAATGTGCATATGTGCACAGTATACTGCAGAAACAATACTAGTAGTAGTTGCGATACCTTATCAGTCCTTTAGGGGGTGACAATACACCCCTCGCAAACCACAAATAAAGCTTCATTAATGACACAACTAAAGACTTTTAGATTGATCTTTTTATAATGGGTCTTTAATCCTAAAAGTGTAATCGCTAGCATGAAATGTCATCTCTCAATCACAACAGTAACTGAATAGAGCACAAGACCTATAACAAAATGTCTGCCAGTGTCGGCTGAGTCATTTTTTTCCCAGAACACCTCTAACCGCACAAAGGGCCTGTGGCTGAGATGAAACGCTGAGGCCCTTCCCACTCAGCTTTCCACAACAGCTTCAGTGACGGTGGATCCGCAGGGAACCGATGGAGGACACACAGCAACAACAGCCAGGTGGGATGACGTGCTAATGATGAGTGGCACTGACAACCGGGGACACATCCTTCCCCTGCATCCATCTATCAATCAGTCATAGCCAGGGATCATTTGAACCTTGTGGCAGATCTTTGATCTGATCTGAGAGCAATTTTGTGTGGTTTGGTTGGTGAAACGATCAGTGAGACATTTAGTTCTCAAAGAGCTCCAGCTGTTTGTCTTGTGAAAGAGTAAGATATTTGTTGTGAATATATATCAGTGTTGTAGTATTAGACAAGCAACACACACTTTGGAATCTTCTAGCATGTTTATGACATGATAAAAACTCTTAAGAAACCCTAGTAAACATTATATCAATGCCCTGTCATTCATCCACACCAATAGGTGTCAGTACAAAATTCAAGATCACTGCATTACTAAGTGCACTTTTACAGTAGTTAAAGGGTGTCATCATTTACACACCCTCAAGTTTTTCCAAACCTGTATGAACACAAAGGTAAACAACAAGTTGCTGGTATCCACTGACTTCTATAGTATGGGGGGGAATTCCATATCTACCAGCATTCTTCAAAATATCTTCTCATACGGGTTTGGAACTATACAGCGAGTAAATGATGACAGAATTTCCAGTTTGGGGTGAAACAACCCTTCTAAACTGT